TGGTCACGGGCACCTGGCTCTGGGTGGCCCTGCTTGAGCAGAGCGGGTGGACAAAAGGACTTCCAGAGGGTCCCTTCCAACCTCAAGTGTTCTGTAATCAGAAGGTCACAATCTGTCCCTTAAGATCAGATCTGCCACAGCAATTCATGCCTTGTTACCCTGCAACTGAGCCAGCGTGCTCCTTGCAAACATCAGCTCAAGGTAACGCAGCAGCTGCAGCCATTGCAGTGACTTGTGTAGCAACGGCTCTTGCCGAGAGCTTGTTGTGCACCTTCTTGAGGGTCTGCACAAGACCATGCTCAAGGTACAGATCAGTGTACTAATTTAGTGATATTTAAATAACGTGGATTCTGGAGACTTAAGAAACAGCTCTTCTCTTTGTGTTGCAATAGAATGACTGCGTGAAACTGGATGCTACGCGTTGCCAAGCCACAGTGTGTGCTCAGGAGGTGGCAGTTCTTAGAGAAGGTCCTTAACCTTGCTTTCCAGGGCACAAATGTAACACATACTCAAGTCATATGGCAGAGCGTTTTTGGGTTTGGTTTTTTTTTTTTCCGAATAGGCCTATTTTGGGAAAATGGGCTAGAGAGTCCTAGATTAGCTTTAGTATTTTGGACACTAGTCCTACTTTTGTGCATGCACCCAGATGAATTTACCTTTAAGTTTTGATACAAATGCAGTACCTGGAGTTTTAAAAGCACTGGATAAACAACAGCCTGTTTGAACATCTCCCAAGAATAAAGCTGGCGAAGGAAGGCTTAACAGCAGCTACTGTCTGGAATCTGAAGCCAGACACGTTCAGAGTAGAATTCAAGTACAACTTTGTAATGGAGGGGGTGATTAACTACTGGAATGAACTAGAATGGATGGATCCTTGGTCCCTTACCAGTTTTGAGGCAAGATGTTTTCTGGACATAAGCCAGGTAACAGGTTTGTTTTACTTTATGCTGGCCTCGGTGTAGAGAAGGTGAAACGGATGAAATGTCGCAGCCCATGTTTATAGACATGTGCACACACACAGTGCACAGAGGCCAGCCAGAAGAAGTGATGATTCCCACAGACCTTAAGCTGTACGTCAAGTAAAAGACTTAAATTTTGACATTTTTTGGTTACTTCTAGGAGAGGATTGGTTTGTAGTTACTGATCTGTAATTATCGGGAATCTGCCTTTATTGTGAATTCAGCAGTGGTAGAACTTCATTCTCAGGGCTGAATTCCTTCACCATCCAATGTACCAGGTTTACCAGCAAGCTGAAACTTGGTTCTTCTGCATTTCAGTAGCTGGTACAGTAATAGATAATAGTTGTGTCGTAGTAGTGGCGCTTATGTCTTCAGGCAGATAACATCTTCAGCCACAGATACTATCCCATGTGGCTTTAAGCCAAGAATTCAGCCCCTCTGTTCATGTTTTACTTTTGACAAAATGGTAATGTTTCTCTTCCCCAAGGACAAAAGCTTTTAGTTTGTTATTTGTAAAGCCCTGCTTAAGAACTTACCAAGGAAGGTGTTAGTGAAATGCAAAGCAATGGCATTATTTTTTTTATTGTGTGACTCACTCAGAAATTAAAAGGGAAAATGAATTTCTGTTCCAAATAAGTGATATCAGGCTCATCTTTACCAAGTGACTTCCTCCTTGCTTCTGCAGGGCGTTGTGGATCAGGGTGAACTATACTTCAAAACATTTAATTGCATACAGTGAGAAATGAAGAAAACTGAAGTGGATCCCAAGAATGTATTAAAAATCTGAACTAAAATGAGAATGATTTCATGTCAAGTGAGACAAATGCAGAGTTGATACTCCAGTGCTTCACACTTCCACTTGTCCTTGGCAGCGAGAAAATGAGATTTTTAATATCTGAAAAACAGATTGCCATGAAGACTCATCCATTGTAAATTTAAGCTGCCTTTATATCAACTTAAGCTGGGGACAAGATTGTTCATTACATCTGATTCTACAACTGTGGCCATGATTTCCATATTAATATTGAATTTTTTTCATTGTCTGTACCAGAAACAGGAAGGGGAGCTGGTAGTGTTTTCCCTGTGTTAGCAGATAATTTATTTAATGAATAATGCGCAAAGGGCAAAGGTCTGTGAGTTCTTACCTGAATGTCAACTGTAGATAGTAGTGACAGCTGCCTTTGCTGCTGTGATCAAACTTGGTTTGGTGCTTTGGTTTATGCTAAAAGGAGGCTGAGGGAAAGAGGGATATTGATTCGTGATTTCAGAATCGTGATTTGTTGGTGACGGAAGTTATGTTACGTTGAGTTGAATTTTTTCGACTAAAATTGTAGCTGAGGGGTTGCTTGTTTCCCATCAGATGCACCCTTAAATTACAAAAACATTTAATCAACCTTTACATCTGTGCGGGGTCAGGGAAGGTATTCCTGTGCCACTGAACTTTAGACCAACGTTGAGTCAAAGACTATTTGTAACCCTTTTCAATAGCAGCCGTTCTGTTCTGGCATCAGACGTAGGAAGCACTAGCTTCCTCTCCTTTCTGTGGAACTGCATTTGCTTTCTCAAGTCCAGCCACCAAGGCAAACCTGAGGATTCCCCGACCTGCCTTCTTGCTGGGCTCTGTCTGTGACAGTTTGCGATTGCATTCAGGCTGTAATACTGCCGCCTCAGCCTTTAACATAGCAAAAATGGAGAATTTATCTTATTTTCTCATGAACTCTCTCCTGTTTATTTCTGCCAAAATGCTGTTATCCTCTGTCTGCGCTCCCAGATCTGGAGTCTCTTGGAAAAGTTCCTTCTTTCTCCTCTGTTCACATCCCAAATTTGGTCTAGGTCCTAATGGCTCTTCATTTATAACATCTGAGGTCTGTATGATTTTTTTTTTTTTCCTCTTCCATTAGTATCACTAATATCATTGTCCTGCCTTTGTCATCTCACACCTGAATTACTGCAGCCTTTTCTTTGGCTCTCTATCTCATCTCCTCGTGTTCCAGTTTTAATACTGCGTTTCATGATGATGGAAGATGATCTTTTCTTTCCGTTGTGGGTTTTGTTCTTTGCTTCTTCCACAATCCTCATCCTGGAAGCAAATCTTTCTCTGAGGAATCCAGTTCTCTATCATTAGCCCCCCTGACCTTCAGAAAGATGGTATATATTTAAGTCTAATTTGTTCATCTTTGGAAAACAAAACAGCTCTCTGTATTAAACTCAAAATTTGGCAATAAGTCAACAGCATGATCTCATATTTTTTGTGACTGCTTCAGGGAATGTGTTTTAAATGCAGTTAAGAAATTTGAGAGAAGTGTTTTGGTGTAGAACTATCTTTAAAAGGTTTGGGGTGGCTGACTGTGAGGGACCTGTGGGCTTGTCATCCATCAGTACTTCGGTGTCACGGTTTCTCTCCCAGGCTACAGGACATGACCTGTGACAGTCTGCTGGGACCACTCATCTTGTCTGTGACCTTGCTCTTGGCGACCTCCTTTCCTGGAGAGGAAGAAGGCAACTCAGGCCCTAGATGTGGGCCAAATGAATTGTTCTGGAAATGGCAGCAGCCGGCTCTCAGCGATTCCCCTCCCTGAAAACACCCAGCGCTTTCCTTTGCCACATCTGGGTGGGAGCAATCATGTGGGCGCAGGATTCAACCCCCTGGGAAAGCTGGGTGGCCAGAAGCTGACTGCTGCTACTTCTGGAAAAGCTCATTCAGCCCAGCCTTTCACCCTGACAGTTCCTAAGTCTTTTCTCATGAAGGGAAAAAAAAAAAAAAAAAAAAAAGGTGTACGATGGTGTAGTCTGCATGCCTGGTGGACTCTGTCTGGAATAGGTGCAGTTCTTCCCCAAAGCCTGTAGCAGGTGTGATAGAGGAAGAGTCATGCTATAGTGTCTGAGAAGAGCCAGGATGTGCCTCTTCACGAGGCTTCGTTGCTGGTATTACAGACATCTCTTTATGGAGCAGAGTAAATTAATCCACACAAACCCTTGTGCTACTCTACCCACTTGGTTTGTTCTAACTTGTGTGCGCCCATAGCCTGAAGTGTAAATATTCTCTTTAGTTCTTCCTGCATCTGCCTGGATGTAATATCCTGCCTTTCTCTTTCCCATTGGTTGAAGTTCGACTTGTGAAGCACTTCCAGTTCATGTTAGTTTGTGGAGAAAGACAGCAGCAGCAATAGCTACAGAAAATTCTATTAGGTCATTCCTTTTCAGAACATAGTACCTGTCTTCTAAGCTCTTTGCGGATGTTAGCCAAATAATCCTTTTAATAGCTTTTGTGAGTTAAAAGGCTAGGTAACTGTCATAAGGCTAAATGATTGCATAGATTAATTTACTTGTGGCCAAAAGAAATCAATTGTAATTTAAATTTTTGTCCCTGGACTGATTATACTACCAGACATCAACTTTCTCCTTAAGAATTTACCACGTGCGTTGAAGTATATGTCTGTGGGTCTGGATTAGTTACAGATTATCCAGAGTAATGTGATTGAACGTTAGTAGTTTTTAACCTAGAGGTGTACGCAAGCTTGGAATATTCAGCTTCTTGGCCTTGTTTAGATCTGCGCAGTATCCATTAATAACTCGAGTCGTTATAATTCATATGGTGTTTGGATGTAAAAGACTATTTGCCAGACTTTAGGACCATGGGTCTGTTGCAAACCATGTCAAAGCTCTCTCTGAAGGCAAAGTGAAGGAAGAGGGCGAGGCTTTAATGGGCCATTTAAAAAAAGAATAAATTGGCAGATGATACAAGAAAATTCAGTGGTTCCAGGGAGGATTTTTCTTACCCATGGCTATATTTAATTATTGGTATACATGCTGCTGCCTTTCAGCAGAGGGTTGGATTGGGTGATTGAGAAGGATCCTGAAGGAGCCTGTCTTTTCCTTTTTACCGAGAAGTGATTTGGCGCTACTGCCTGGTGAAACTGCTGTAAGGTTGCCCTCTGTAAGCCAGTTGTATAATTCTAAATCAGATAACAAGAAGTCAGAATGTATCTGCCTTTCATAGAAATCTCTAACCTTCTTGTATCTTTTCACTGTGTCTTACAGAATGGTGAATAACACTGAAGACCCTCAAGAGGCTTTATAACGTCCCATCCCCATGTAAAGTATGCTCAGAACTTTTCCAGTAGTGTAAGTACAAGCTAAAAAAAAACCACAAAAACAAAGAGTTGTTTGGTGTTTTGTGTTATTTTCTGTTAATTTGTCTGAAAAAGAGCAGAGAAATGGTTACAATGATTATCAGCAGTTGGCTAAATTGGAGAGTTCCCACTGGTTTGGTTTTTGCTAGACATTTAAACGAGGGAACAGTAGCGTTTAATTCTTCACTTGGTCTGGCTGATGTGTTATTTCTACTTTTCTGCCCCTGGAGGAGAAGGGAAATCATGCAATTCTTAGAAACTCAGCCTTGATCAGAGGAAAAGGTAGTGTTAACAGAGACATCTCCATACATCTGCTGAACATAGTAGAGGGATGCCAGAGCTGTGCAAGAGAGCTGAGCACCACTACAGACTTGGTGAAAGGGGATGAGTACGCCGCTAACGTAGTATTATATAACAAAGGCAGAAAACCTAGGGCACCTAACCTTACATTACAATTGGATGTTTTGGTCCAAGGAACCACTGCTGTATCTTGAATCCCAGTATGAATTGAAGTTGTCTAAAGCTCATCCTTGAATTTAAGCCTATTAGTCTGTTCTTTTAAATGACTTTTGTCATGAACCTTCAATCTAATTGGTATCCATGCTGCTTCTTCACTAAATAAGCAAATGAATTCAAAGTTTGAAGCTTGTCAGGCTGAAAGGCTTGACCTGTGCTGTGCTGTCATCCATCTCTAACTGGCCAGTCCTATATCACTGTTCCCCATACCTCTTTTATAGGCACAGTCAAATGCTTGTCCACTGGCAGTCAGATTCTTGAGATACTTTGACCTCTTCACTTCTTATTGTACCTTCTGTCAGACTGAGTTGGAAAGAGAAATCCTGTTTGCAGAATAGGTAGCAAGAGACTGGGCTGCCGTGCATGCAGTTAAATTTTCCCAGATGGGTTATTTCAAGGCTGAGTATTATTCATCTAGCACATGGACACTCATAGTGCGAGTGGCAGTGCAGTCAGACTTCTGTAGAGAGAGCCACGGCAAAAAAAAACAATTGCCAGGGGTTTTGTCTTGGAAACTAAACTACCAATGTATTTCAGAAAGACCTCTTCTTGATACAACTATTAATTAGTTATTTTCCGATGCTGGTAGCTTAGTCTTCTATTGAAAACCAGTGGTTTCCTACTTCGTTGCCAGTCCCCTGAGCCACCTCCTCTTTCTTTTAGATGGAAATAGTTGGATTTCAGTATTAAAATCACCACTTGAAATTGTAAAGATCTAGTTCACAGCAGGAAAGAAGTCTGGAGGTAAGGCCGCACTGCCCTGTGCATCTTTGTTATATTGGTAATTCAGAGTTTGCAGAGTGATCTTAGAGCTCCTCTGTGCTTTGTGCGAGCACAAGGACAGGCTGTCAGCTTTAACTTTGAATCAGACTTTTAACAGAAATTTCCAAACTGTGAATTATATAATTTTAATTTCCTGTGCTTCAGCTAGGTTTCAGTCACGTTCTGCCCCTGTGCAGTTTTAGTTGGATATCGTGTTGTTCTGTTGCTTTCTGGAATCGTTGTGGCTCATTGATGTGCCCTGTTAATCAGCTGCCACCCTCCATCAGAGAAGTAGCAGCTTTTTTGATTTATTCCATTTTATGTACAGTTAATACGGTCATTGAGAATGCAGTATAAGTATAGGTGAATAATTTTTGACTGAGTGAAAGCTGGGGTGAACCTATTTTGGAGGGGATTCGAGAGTATTAAATTAGAGGAAATGGACCAGGATGACCCATTTAGGTATAAAGTTTCCAGATTAAACTGTAGATATCTTTTAAAAAGGATAAGTAAGCATTGTGGTTTCAGAAGGGGAAAGAAGAAAACAGAGTCCTCTTTTTTTTTTTTTTTTTTTTTTTTTCATTGTTAAAAAAAAAAATTAACTCTAAATACTGGACTTTCTTAAATCTACCATGGTTAGAGAATAGTTTGGTTACTCCTGTCATGGGGCAGCATCCTCTGTCAGAAGAGCAAAGTAGGCAGCTGGCTGCAGTTACCATTTCACCTACCTAATTCTTATCTACAGTTGGACGGGAGTCAGTACTCGAGAGGAATTTGAGGCATGGTGTGAACACAAGACTCTTGATTTTGGTCTAAGAAGAATTAGTAATTTATCTGAAACTAAGCCAATGCAAGTATATCTCTACTGGGTTCCCCATAAATATAATGGGAGTAATTATTTGTACTTCACAGGCTCATGGCAGTATTGATTAATTAATATGTGTTAATTTGTGTTGCATGTGTCAAATTCTCTCTCAGAATATGATTTCTGATAGAACTAGACAGTTTCAACATCGTCACTTAGTTTACCTGAATTATCAGGCCAGTGCTTATGAATCTGACTGCCAGCAATGACAGAGCTGTCTTGGGAGTGAGTAAAAGCCTGCTGAGTGGAGAGAAAATCAGTGTGAGTAATGCAGATGGAAAAGGACTAGATTGAAGCCTTGTCATCGTTCGGGAAAAACAAAAGAAAGAAAGAAACGAGTATGTGAACAATGCCAAAGTCAGCACACACTGAGGAGCGGACAGTGGAGTTATAGTGGTTTAGAAAGTCACCACGGGGCTGAGCTGTGTTAACTGTCCAGCTTCCTTGAAACATGACATGAAACAGGTTAGTTAAACTTGGGTGAAAGAGGACTTGGCTGATTTGCTCTTTTTGTCTTCAGTGACAAGGTATCATGTAAATAGTTGGTGGCTGTAGGAACGTTCAGTAGGCATTTTAAGGTTCCTTAACTGAAACAGTGTCTTGTCTGAGCCCTTAGTTTTACTTTAAGATAAAACAGATGAGTTAATTCATGATTTCACAGGCAGCTAAGCCACTCTGAAAGGGACCTAAAAGAAATCATGTTGCATGTGTGCCTCTTAGGCCCACTTCTGCTTTTAGCCAAATTGGCTTGCCCCCCATCTCGAGCTGGTAATAGCAATCATCATCTTCTCGAAGCTCATCAACCCTCCTCTAAGCTGATTCAGCTCACTAACCCAGGCAGAAACTAGCTATGGGTGGATGGGTTGGTTGATTGGTTTTTCTGCTGGGTTAGCGAACTGGGCTGTGGAGATTTCCACCAAGTCCTGGAGCTGGGCAGAAGAACAGGTAGTAGGGCGGTTCACCCTCTCATGTGCATCTGCAGCCTCAGGACTCGCATCTGTAGGTGTTGTCCTGCTCCAAGTAAGACACAGAAAGATTTGGACTTGTCCTGAGAATATAGAACGGACCTTCTCTATGTTGTACAAGAGGAAATTTCCCTAGTTCAGGTCTGGGCCACACAGAGATGTTGCTTTAAGAGCATTAATTAGGATGTGTGTTTCTTTTTGAAATGCTTTTAAATAAAATAAAACTCTTAATTTGGAAGCAACTGTGGCCAAAAGCCCATAGTTTTGCCATTATGATTTATATTCTTGAAGAAGCCACTGTATCTATTCCTGAGTTGTCCACCAAGTAGAATCTTTGGCTTCACTAAGACTGTGTGCCAGTAAAACTACACTTACAAACTGTTTTCTAGTGGGGGGAAAAAAAAAAAATGCTTTGTAGTTAAACACAAAAGTGTAGGGATAGGTAGATTTCAGTTATTTGCTGAGTTTGGATTTTAGTTTTCTGAAGTCAGTCTTTTAAGAAAGTGTGGTGATTGTTACTGCTGGTGATGGATCCTGAGGGAGAACGGAGGTGCCTGAAATACTTCAGAATGTCTCTTTTTCTTTATGCATGGAAGAGAGGTGGTGGAAATCCTGGTGATGGCATTTCTTGAAACTTGTCCTACACCTTGTCATATCTGATGCCATAGATGGACCCTGTAGGATGGCTGTATGTGTGGTGAGAAAATGCTCAAAGTTTGGCCGGGCACTTGGTTTGCCTTCTTGCAGGATGCTTGTGTGATTTTGAACAAGTCATTTTGACATGTCTGAAGGGGGCAGCCCCTTTCTTCGAGCTCTTGGTCTTCAAAAATGAGCATAGTTTTACCTCTTTACCTCACAGGGATATTCTGTAGAAAGATATGTTTCAAGTATTTTCATATTCCAGCTAGCAGAATTAATGGAGAAGAATTCTGAGATTCTGTCTGGATTTTAATAAAGGATTGATCAAATTCTGAAGCGAAGCAGAGGAGGCAGAAGACAGCAGTGTACCTACCCCTGTAATCCTGACAGCTGAAAGTACGTGAGTTGCCAGTCTGGTGTCTAGGTTAAGCCCACATCTGTTTTATTGCCACAGTGACTCTGTTTCTTCATGTGGGTTAACGACAGTGTTTCTGTGTGTTGGTGAGATTTGCTTAGCTGCATAACTCAAGCTCACAGGTCCTGCCCTGATTCTGTTACAGAACTTACATATCCAAAGTTTAGTTTTCAGCTCCCAAATCTAAGGGCTCCTCCTTTGCTCTTGGCACGGGTTTGGGCTTTGGGCCCTGGTTCAGCCCTCAGCTGACACTACAGCTTTTCTCTCTGTTCGTTAGTTCTTCTGATCCCTCATTCTGCCCTTGAATCCAGCCTCAGAGTTTCAGTTCCTGCCTCGTTGCTGTAGAATTGCAACAATAGTGGGAAACCCAGATTTTGGAAGTAGGGAAGGTTAGGGTTAGGCAGATAAGGTGTCAGTGCAAATCAGTCTGTGCCTTGAGCAGCATTCTGAAGTATCTGACTCCCAGCCCCTTGCTTAGTCAGAGGTCAGTCCCTTTTGTAAGACTTGGATTATGACAATAATTGGCATTTATATTTTTGCCTTGTAAGATCAATCTCCGATTCTCTCTCACTTTCCCAGAGATGTAAAGTGGCTACTATGATGCTGAGTAAATTACTCACCCAAGTGGAATCAGTGGCAAAACTGCTGGTGTTTGCTTACTGCTAGTGTGCCAGCATCCAGTAAAAAATATTTTATCGGCAGTGAAGAATTTCAGAGACTCGAGTGGAAGAACAGCTTATGTAGAAGTAGTGAATCTGGGTTTGGGGCTCTTTAACTAGCTGAGAAACTTGAAGCCTCCTGAAGAAATGATATGTTGATATTCTGCTCTC